GCGTTCCTCAGGAACGCCGCGGGACGTGACAAAACGTCGGCATGTTACGCCTCGGGAGTGAGAACGGGCTGGGTATTAAGAATAGAGATCAAAACACAAATTGTCACTCTAAGGGGAACTAGAAACAAACACAAAGGAGAAAACAGCCTAAGCAAAAGCATAATATTAAACCAAGCCTAAATTAGTTAAAACAGAGAACAGACAGAAATTGTAAGAATGAATTCCAGAAAGAATTTTTACTTTACAGGCCTCAGTTGCCATTCTAATGTTAAAGCTGATAACAAAACAATTAGAAAAAGACCGAACAAATAGTTTTAAAGGATTACCAGGAGATAGTCTCTTCTCATTAAAAAGAGTAAAACAGCAGAACTTAGGTTTCCAGTGCTTAGGACAGATAAAACTCCGTTTCCCTCTGTTTGTCTCCACCCTCAACTGGTTGCAGCAGATAACTGCCCCTTCCTGAGTTTGGTTCTTCCTGTCAAAAATGTGTTTTTTTTCTTCCCAGTGCCACCAAATGCTTATTCATAGGTTGTCGACAGATTTTAGGGGTTTCCTCTGTATTATTTTGAGGTCTCTGACTTACAACATAAAGCGGGCTGAGTGTTGTTGTGACTTGGTGCTATATGAAAACAGTTGAATTGAATTGACATATGTCATGTTGTGTTGTTCACCAACCAAATGTTAATTTTTGTACTGACCTGAGGTTCTATTTATATAATGTATATAATGTGAAGATTTGAGTTAAATGTTTTGTTTGCTTACCAGTATTCGTTTCATAAAAGTGAACTCCAGTTAAACAACAAAGGATGAGAGCAAGAACCAGTGCAGCGATGGGGGAGTACTTCAAAGTCTCCAAGTCTTCTGGAAAAATAAAGAAAGTTTTTACTCAACAAATTATCTAACTCAGTTTTTATTTCAAATGAATGTAACTCATGCTTACTCTTTTGATTGCTTTCGTCAACTGGAATCGCAGACACAAACAAACAAACAAACAAACAAAGTGTTAATCACCATATCCAGTCTTCAAAAATATATAATGACTTAAGTCTTGACATCAAATTTATGTTATACTGCAGATAGTCACCACAGGTTAGGTTCAATTCATATCTGATTCATCGTTAAAGTTTTTCTGTTGAAATAATTTTAATTTGGGGTATTTTAAACTGATGAAAATTCTATAAATGATTGTAGATGGCAAACAAACTCAAACCATGATCTTAAACCTTAGATATAAAACGTTAAACCAACAACTGAACAACAAATTAAATCTAACTCTCTTTAATATTTTAATATATGTTTGTTCTTTTAACTTTTCTTTCACAACATCATGAATGCGTTGGATTTAAATGAACTGTTTATGGGTGGTAAACTGAATCAATAAAATTTTATAATCGTTTAATGAAAATACCATATACATATACACATCACCTGTAATCTTGTACACGATGAAAACAAGGACTATGATGAGCAGAACAAAAAAAAAACCCACGGAAACTTTGATGTAATAATCATTGTTCTCTTCGGGACTTGTACAGATTAAATAATCTGGAAAGACAAAACATCCATCAATCCAAAGTTGTGTATCTGTATAACAGTTATTACATCCACACTACCACACAAAAAAATGCTTTTCTATTTGTCTGCTGGTCTACTTCTTTGCCAAGGATTTATAATGAAAACATAAAGCATGTAGATTTCTTAGGTTTAAAGTTATTACTTTCCCATCATCTGGTCCTGAACACACACACTAAATCCATTATTTTGGGTTCACTCTTACCTCTGTTACTCTTGATCACTTTTTGGTCCAGTTTGATGATGATGTCTTCTTTGACAGCAGAAAGCTGAAACACACAGTCATACCTTGACCAGTCCTCAGGTGTGACTGATGAAAGTTTTAGGACTACATTAATTTGGAACGTCCCGTCCTGATTAGGGTATATCTGTTCACGGTCCGTGAATTGATAAAGTTTTTTTCCATCTTTCCTCCAGAACATAACGGCTCGGTCAGGATAGAAACCTGTAGCGTGGCAGCTGACTGGAGAGGAGGGAGTCTTCTGGAGGAGAGACACTGAAGGCCAGTCTAAAGAGACCAAAATAAGGCATTATACCTTAATAGAGAACAGCGTTATGCTTTGCATATATATTCCTTTATTCCTTTCATTTGAAATGAAATGAATAACCCCTGTAGATATTGTTTCCCCAAAATAGCGTTATGTGATGGAAACCTACCTGTTCGTTGTAGAAAATTTCCATAGTCCAGATACTGTTTCAGCCATTTAGAACACACGTTTGTGAGGTAATGGTTAATATCTGCTATTCTAATTTGCTGATTGTCTAACTTGTGTTTGACAATGCTAGCACAAGGAGTTGAAATGAGCCATGTCTGTGTCTCCTGGTTAAATTCCATAAGGTCTTCTCCATCATAACCATATCGATCAAAACTTTTGACCTCTTCAGTCTCATTGTCCCATTCACAGCCATACATTCTCTGAAGGGTGTGAACACCTGAGGGACAGAAGGAAGAAAGAAAGAAAGAAGATATCAAAGCAAGCTTGTTCTGCTTGGGCAAAGCAAAAGCTTCTGAACATTTTAGCTTTACAACAATACCTTCAGTTTGGCTGCAACTCCTTCTCAATACATTTAATATGTCTTTAAAAAAACGTTTACTATGAAGACACTCTTGAGTGTACAAGTCGTTGTGTTCTTGATTGCTTTGCATGAAATCTTTAAGCCAGTTTGGTTTTGGTTCTGCTTTGTTGAGGTTGGTGTTGCAGTGCACCAGCTCAGTTTCATCAGCCCACAGGACACCCACAAAGTCTTGGACTCCAGATGATTCACTGAAAATTAACTTCAGGGAGTGTTTCACTGCATGGAATAAATAAAGAAAAAAAATAACAATACTATAGATTTGAGATTGTTGTATATATTTATTTACATTTTGCTAAAGAACAACAAGACTGCAATATTTTTCCCGTTTTAAGAATAGTATTTATTTTCAATATCTGAAAGTAGTTTCAATATATTTCCTCATTCAAGAAATCATACAGACACACACACACATAAACATTCTGCTAGACAAAAGAACGAATGTCTGATCTCATCTGGAAGTGGCATTAGTCACTTTTTGCTGTGCTCATATGCCGTTATTTTTGTGCCACTATTCTGAGTTTTTGAATTTGCACGCAAATGCAAATGCAAAACCTGAGCGAGAGGGGCTGCTATTGTGTGTGTGTGTGTGTGTGTATGGATAATAGCAAACACTAAAATACATTTTTTGCACGCAGCAGTGAATTTTGTTCACTCAAATTTAGCTTTTCTTTGCTCAAAATAAATTTCTCCTCAAAATGCAACACTTGCCCCTGCAAAATTGTTTTTACGTGCGCTAAGAATAGTGGCAAAAAATAACGCCATATGCTCAGTGAAAGAAAATGTATAAAGCGTCAGTTTTGCTTTATTGTCATTGCATAAGTGTTTTTAATTCTATGAAATAAGAAACATTTGTAATTACCACTAATAAAAGTGAAAGTAGTTAGCTGCGTAAAACTCAGTTTCAATTTTAAGAGACAGTTATAAAAAAATACATAAAATGCGAGCTTACCTGGAGATACTACATGACTTAAGAGGGAGAACGCCGCAATAAAGTGAATATTCATCTCTGCAGTTTCTCTGTGACTTCCAATGCTGATATCTGTTTATCTCGGAAGTCGGTGCACTTTTCAGAACTTCTGTTAATACTAGTGATGTGACGCTCTGTATCGAGGCTTCAAAGCTTGTGTCGAGTAATGGAGGGGGCGTTTCCGCGATGCGCGTATCGAGCAGTCAGTGGTAACGAGGCTTGCTTCATTTATGGGAGGAGCTGAAAATGATGACGTCCGAAGCCTAGCTTCCCGACTGTACCACGGGACTGGTTCAGGAAGTGGTTCGAACTTTGCCGCGAGATATGACAGCGATATAAACCCCTCAGACTTCATTCAAAATGTGG